ATAATTTCAAAGGTTCTGTCTGAACGCCCTACTAAATCTTTACATCTCATTAAGATTTTTGAAAAAGTATTCAGCACTTCAGAATCCAAATAAGAGGGAACACCATTTTTATCATAAACACTTCTTAAACTGCTTACCCAAAAATAGATTCATAAAAATTCGTGTTCAGCAGCAGTAACATTCTAGCAATTGAACATTCTTTCCCTGTCCTTATATTTGATATTAATGAATTCAACATAAACTTAAATTATAACCGACTACGTTGTTTTCATTTATTTTTTCGTTGTGATCATTTTTCGGCATTACCGACACTTGGCACAATATCATAAAAAAATGCAATTAGTGACAAAATACTAAGTGACAGCAATAGATTTCGTGCTTTCAAAAACGATATTTTCTCTTTGCATTGTAAACTACCCTTATCCTTCTCCATAAAACTTTTTATTTTCATAAAAAGATTTTTTCTAAGCTATTCCTAGATTTTTCTTAAAACGAACTTCTGGGTGCACTAAAATCAGAAACTTTCTTGTTAATATCACGAAATCTTTCACAAACAACAAAACACTTCAGTTGTAGAACGCAAACTAAAATCAAGTGAGAACTAGGCACGAGTATTTATCATCTAACTACCATTTATCGTTTTCGGAAGATGTTAACGTTGTATATTGGTTTAGATACTCCTCATACGAAGGACGAACGGGCATAACAGGTAAAAAATGAAGATAAATGAAAACCAAAATGACACTACGCCACATAAATAGCAAATCCAACCTGTAGGGAAAACATTTGAATGAAGCCAACTCCTCGGAACAACAACATTCAAGCTGGCACAAACAATATACATAGAGTTGCAAGGCTTATACGATGATAAACAAACAGCTGAATAACTCATTTGATACCTTACCTTTTGTATGTAAAGCTTCACAGGATTGTTAATGAAGTTTTTTTAAAAGCAAAAATTTCGATTCCAGTCGGCAAATTGGTTATTACAGCCATTAAGTCGTATTCAAGTGTAAACTTCACTTCGAATTTGCTCGAAAAACAACAAAGAAAATGTAGCGTTAGCAACAATAGCAAATCTTGCTTCCCACGTATTCAGCCAAAGCATGTTGCACGCCTGGTCGTGCGTCATTAATTTTTGCGGGCCTTAACTCTCATCAAAGCCTTGCGACAAGTAATTGCATCGTTAACGAAACGTTTTTCCTCCAAATTTAATATCAAAGTAAAGAAAAACAAAATAACAGAGAGCTATTATTTAATTACATGTTTCTGCTTGTTACTTGAGAGCGGTGATCCGGTAAGCCCAAAGTGCACTGCGAGTAGTTCAGTGAGAGGCGAATCCAGGCTCTCGTTCGCGCTCAATGAGATTGGTTACGCATTTCAAGTCATTTACAAGATGTCAACAATACCAGCTTAAGGATGGTAGGACTCGTGCAAACCATATGAAAGCTAAAAGGAGCGTTCTGGCCAGTGAAGATTATCATCGTTTTCCTCGCTCTCTTCACAGTAATTTTTAAGCTCTTGTAAGAATTTTAATTTCATCAGTTATTGTGTCCGTCTGATCAATTTTTTGGGTTCATAGTCATTATTCTGATCACCACATCACGTGGAAATCACGTGTCACTAAGCGTCAAAAGAAAGCTGATTAGGTCGAAGAATTTCATTCCAAAGAAAAGTACAATCGGCTCTGAGAGACCTGAGAGGATTTAGACGATACAGTTACTATTTGGTTGCACGTTAGATCGCCTCCTAATCGATTCACCGCTTAAAATCAAATTAGTTAGCAATGAACTCTCCTTTTCATCTTATGCACAGCTGGCTTTTGGTATAGATAAGGAAAAAGTGTTGCGTTAAGATACAGGATGACGGTTCAAAAAAAATTTTTTTCTAGAAACTGATAACAAGTGAGGTCAATATAAAACAACACTTTAAGTTTTAAACCAAGTTGCCCTTTTAAGGGTATCAAGAACTTCACAAGCTTAGCCTACAACAGACTTTCAAAAAAAAAATTCCGTCTTTACTTTCGTCCAATGCGCTAAATAAAGCGATGGAACACATTGTCAATATTTTTCCTCATGCGAGTTTATGTAAATATGGTCATTCTAGCTGTTCAATTGTCCTCCCGTGAAAGCCTCAATAAAAAATGTAAATATCTGCATGACAAGGATTCTAAATTGCTTTGTCATCCCGACACCTCAGAAAAGGTAAATAACAGAACAATTTCCCTTTCACAAAACGCTCTGTTTTACGGTATTTTTCAGTCTCCAAGAAAGAGGCTCTGGGTTGATGGAAACGAGAGAAAAGGCAGACGCACAAAATTCGGCAACCGCCGTTTGTCGTTTGCAGTCGTCCTGACCGAGAGCTTGGAACAAGTCAACTAAGAAATGAAGATACCTCAAAAACCACACATATTATTGACAAGATGAGGCATTTTTGTTCCACCATCAGTGAAATCAAATAATTTTCTAGAATTATCATAAAAAGACTGTGACAATATTCGTTTTTGCACCAGCCTTGCGATTTTGGGGGCTTAAAAAACGTTTCATCTTTTATATCATGTAGCATTGTGTAGACACAAATACCGCATACGTTTCGAAATTTTTTTAAAAACCTATAGCCTATTAAATTCAGAGCTTTCTCAAAAGTCTCATTAAGAACTGATTTTTGAGATAAAATATATCAATAGCAGACATAACTTTGATCCAAAAGCGAATTTTTAATCGGTCTGCCAACCATTATATTAGTCGATTGTCATTAAATTCAGAGGACAGACGACGTACACGTGTCTACTGCATATCAACCTCAACCTTTTTTCGTTTCAGTTAACTACGTACTCAATAATTCGCTCCTACTAACATACCCACTGGTCTCCTTCCACCGAATCTTTCAACGCCTCCATCATGTAATTCAATTATTTTCTCCCCGTCGTTCAACCACCGGCAGTCTGCTTAATTTAAACTGTAGGAAGATGATACTCTTTAGTCATTTGAATGACGGAGGAGAATAATATCGCTTTAATTGATTTAAAAAACGTAATTTTTAACATTTTATCAATGTTAATGTGTCACTCAGGTTACGCCCAGGTTTATAATTGGAAAAACTAATGTCAGAAGCTTCTTCTGCAATTATCACAAATGCTCATTACTTTCTACTTCTGTCGATTTCCAAGCCTTAAAAAGGAACTGATATTAAGACATTTTCCTAACATCGCTTAACCGTGCATGTAATCATCGTTACTTAGCAACCGTGAAGACAAAAAGTGACTGGAAACTTCCACATCGGTTTTTGTTTTGTTTTGTGTTGTTTTTTTCTTTCCTCACTTTTCAGCAACAGAAATATTTCATTAGCCAAACACCCTTCACTCTTCCTCCCTTTAAAAATTTTGCTGTCAGCAGCTCGTTATACAAGAAATATGCTAAATCTTACTGTGGATATACATTCGATTGCAAAAACGTTGACACCCATAAAAGCGTCAGCCGTGGGGTCTCATCGTTTATGGATCTGGTGGAACGGGAGCTCTTAGCAAGAGAAGACTGGGACGAGATATATTGGGACCACAAATATGAAAAAGAAAAGGACGCGTTATTTGGTAGTAATATCGTGGCATGTAGAGACAATGTTGCACATAATGATTCTTGGGGGTCTTTGGAACCTTCCAGTAGAAAATACGAAAGGCCCACTACTTGGTTTAGACCCAAGTGTAAATAAGCGACCCTAAGCATCGTATAACAGAGATGTTCTTTTCCTATCTTAAACCCTGCACCCATTTAAAACATAACCTAACGTAGCAACCATGGTTGCATTTCAAAGAATCGACCAATTTCAAAAGAAAAGAGTATGGTCAAGTTAATTCCGACTACATTCACAAATGATCGTCTTCCCGTTGAACCTCGTCATTACTTTGCCCTAGCACAAAACCTCGCGCATGACCTGTAATCAGAAAACATTAGCTCAAAGAATGATAAACGAGTGGTAAACCATGACCCCTTGCCGAGCACTTTTTTAGACATTTATGATGTATCTTTCTCAATTCTCGAAATTTTAAACTAAGTGAAAGTTTCATTCAAATTTCATCGAAAACTGTGAACAGCCAGACGGTTATAAGGGTCGGTTGACAGTTGTGTTCACATTTTTGACATCACAGGCTTCCTTGGTATTGGAATTAAGTGTCTCTACAGATAATCAAGTGTGAAGGATATTCTAACTTATGCTACGTAGTTTGTATCTTTTACCCATTCACACCAGCAAAACATGTTTTGATAAACTGGGCTTAACTGAATGAAAATCAGAAACAGAGAACTGAAAACCCGAATTTTCCACGGGATTAAATGGCACTAACTGTATTTTCAATGTGCTAAATTTAAAGTCAACAAACGTCGGTTGAAGCAGCTTCTATGGGGAAAACAAAGTAACACAGAATTTAGCAAAACATCTTTGAAACATGTTTAAGCTTGACAGGTGTATCTTTATTTGCCCTTTTCATTATTCATCGTTGGGGAAGAAATACAATTTCAGTATTTCGTTAACACCCCGATGAGCTATAAAAAGAACGAGTAAATAAAATTGTATCAATGTTAACAACAATCAACTACTTTTTGGCATACATGACACCATGAAAGGATAATGAACAAAACATTTTCATAACTTCGCATAATGCCATGAAAAATTGAACCTCTTCACTATGCAATCTCACTAATTAACTTCTATTGATTTACAATGAAATTCAACGAGAAAGCAAACTGAGCGAAGAGATGTGTTATAGCTTACTTCCTTTCCTTTCTAAATGGTGAATAGGACGATTAAAAATTAATTCCTGACCAAGTGTCAAAAACATCAAGGAAACTCAATAGGCTAAGATCACGTCTTGTACGTGATAACTATATACAGGAACCAAATGTACCCAAAGGAGTTTTCGAGTTTTCCTAAAAACTGAACTGAGGAGATAATTCTTAGCAGAGAACCTGTAAACTGCATTTTTCTACTCATTATTTCACTTCGCAATGTTGCAATTCGTTGAACTTTGCCCAATCTTAGTCCTGTCTGTTCTGATACAAGACAAAGGCTCTGCTGAGGGTAAGTTGGACTCCATGACAAAGCTTTTTTTTCCAAATTTATATCACAGGCGTTCGTAACTTTTCGCTGATTCTTTTAACAAGACACATCATCGACTCCATAAGCATAACGAATCCTTCCACCAAAAGAAGAGATAGAATAGATAAACAACAGGCAAGAGAGGAGAAATATCCTCTCTTGATTTCAAGATATTCAAGTTTAACATTCTTTACCTTTCAAATGCACCTAATTTGAGTGACTAATAGAGAAAGTCAAAGAGAAAAAAAGAAAAAACCAAATTCGAATTCTTAGCATATATCATGAGTATGCGGTATAAACATATGGATTTTCTCTTAATCTATAAAATTATTAGACAACACCTGATACTCTCGAGAAGTCTACAAGAAATTTTTCTGTAGAAATTCTCGGAAGTTGTTCGGCTGCCGGGTATATAGCCGTAGGTTAGTTTTATGCGCAATAAATTCCTATTTGGCTTTTCCCATTTTTTGTTTTCGCTCTTGTATATCATAACTGTATATCCATAGAGCAGCTCAGTGCACAACATTGCATGTGTCACTTTCATTAGAGCACTTTAGTAATATATTTCCTCACGTATAATCGATTCTATGTGATATTTCCAACATAGGGTTTAAAATTTCGTATCGAGAGCATTCGTCGCCAACTTTTCGAGAACATGTATTTATTAAAGATGAGTTCCATCATCTGAATGTGTCTCCAGTGGAAACATTCAGCGTGTCTGATGTCATGGACTGCACCTTCAAATGCCTTTGTAACCCTTTCTGCTTTTCTGCCAACTTGGCTGTTGTCAGAAAAGCCGATGGGAAATTTTGGTGCGAGTTACTGTCTTCTGACAAATACAAGAACAACACAGAATACACAGAAAGTAGAAATGTGCATCACTTTTCCCTGAAGGTAAATTATTTTTCATTTCACGTAATGCAATGTTTTTCTTTCTCTTCAAGTTTATTTATCTGTTTATTGTGCTTGACCTTTCAAGACTGATTCACATATTTCCTCTCTCCAGTCCCCTCGCTCTTCCTCGCCATGTCAAAACAAAGCCACCTGTGTGACGAATTACAAATATGGCTCCTTTGAGTGTCTCTGTAATGACGGCTATGTCGGAAAATATTGCGAAAGAGGTGAGGGAAATCTTTAATATTTCCATCTAAAGATAAAATAAGATATGTCGCAAATGAAGCAACTACGAATATTACAATTCCCCCGAGGTCAGAATGCTAGTCCATCGTCGGATACTACCACTGCTCCTAAACCTCTTTTCCAGGATCTTCTCAAAGTTTGCCGTCACCAATTTTACATTCCTGGTAACTCAACCAGGATGAGAAACTATATCTTTCAATCCAGAGTCCTGGCTATTATTTACGAGGTTATTACATGTGTCCCAACCACAAAATAAAAGTCTTATTTGTTATTTCTTTCAGCCATCAGGTCATGCAGAGAAATGTTTGAGCTAAACAAGTAAGGAATAAATAAATGGTCTTGCGGTAATAATTAAATCATTCTTACTAATGTGTGATATATTTAAATGAATCATAGTGTTCTTGCCTAGAGATAATCATGTCAATTGATTGCATACATATAATAAGGTTTTATCAACTCAGTTGATAACGGAAATTGGCCACTAAAAGTTGACGTTTCGAGCATTAGCCTTTCGTAAGAACGAAATACGAAATGCTAACATTAGAAATGTCCACTTAGAAACTCTTTACAGAGATCAATTTAAATTATCAACTCCAAACTATCTTGTAATACCCCTCATCGAGTGTAGCATCACAGCTTTTTTTAGAAATTTACCGCCTTTATTGCATAGATATGCCTCCGAGGTTACTGAGTAGCTCCATAAAGAAGCCCACCCCTATCAACATATGAACAAAAGGCTTCACCCATATCAAGTCTTCGATGAGCCAGCCTCGCTTAATTGTTCATCGGTGATAACCGGTTTCAATCAGAATGCATTTTAAGCTAGTTCGTTGATGAGCCTCTTATTTTCCTTGACTGCCAATTAAGGTAATAATTACGAGAGAGGATGCAAGCTTCTCTATGCACAAAATTAAAACGTTCTCTATTATGTTTCGAAGGTTGAACACAAGTCAGCTGGTCATCCTTATCGTTGACTCAAAACCATTGACGGTCTTCTGCCACGTGGGAGATTTGGGTTGTGGAAGAGGGGGCTGGACACCAGTGATGAAGATTGATGGAGACAAGGTATGTACGATGCGATTTCCATTTGGTAACTTACTTATTTGAAAATAAACAACCACACGAGAAACAACTGGAAACGTTAATACAAAGAAACAAGTAGTAGAAATTTGCCATAAGTGGTGGAGTCCCTTCCACGCAATTTAAAACCTTAGATTTCCTACCAAGTGAACTACAAATGGAAATCCTAACGCATGTCTTGACGTCGATCTTACTCATTTTTTTCCTGATGGTGGCATCGGCAGTGTTTGCTTTTCGTCTTAAATATTAATGAAAGAATACCGAAATAGCATATCCCCGTTTTCCCTGAAAACACTTCATCTCTCCACAAGTTACCAGCGCAAAATTCTCTTTGAAACGAATAAAGCAATTTTTTTTCAGGCTCCATTATCACTTGTGAATAAACAGTTATATCTTCTAGATTAAAGAAGAAACATCTTAAGATTTATTAACGCAATTATTTGATATTATTTGGCAGCTAACTTTTCATTATGACTCGGTGTACTGGAGCGATAAGAACACCTTCAAACTTGGTGGAGGAAGGACTGGGTTTGATTCAATGGAGACCAAGTTACCAACGTACTGGAACACATCTTTTTCTAAAATCTGTCTCGGTATGAAGATCAACCAAGACATCAGATTTATGGTGATAAACAAACAGGCCGAGTCTCTGTACTCACTGATAGCTGATGGGGAATACCGCCAAACTTCATTAGGTCGAAACAAGTGGAAGGCGCTGATTGGTTCGGAAGCATCTCTTCAAAATAAATGTAATAAGGAAGGCTTTAATGCACAATGTCTTCATGATGGGTTCCCTACGCAGAATTCTAGAGCAAGAATCGGTTTTATTGGTAATAATAGACGCAACTGCACCAATTGTAACTCCAGAATTGGATTTGGTACCGGGGGCCATCCTGATTTTAACAACACGTGTGGGAACGAGGCAATAAGGAGATCAAATAAAGGTGACAAACATATTAGAACCATGGGGTTCATATTGGTGCAGTGATGATGGGACGAACGAAAAAGAAAAGACTGTTTCATGATAGATGTTCTATCTTAACATGGACAATAGGTTCTTAAGCCTTACTCATCAGTTGAAAAATCTTTCAAAAAGACTTAGATGATGTGTCGTAAACGAAGGAGGTAAATATTTGCCTCCTTGTGTTGGCACGAGAGAGTGTCTAATTATGAAGGATTATTTTATTCTGCAATACATTTCAGTTGGTTTGTTTCATAACATGGCGTTTCCTATGGAAAAGAGATATCTCACGAAATTATTGGCATGATATTGGTGTTTTTTCTTTTTTTAAATTTTACAAAATTCTTCCAAATTTCCAAGCATTAGATTTTCACGAGAAAATAGTGAAATCGTTCCAGGTGGCCTGTAAATAAACAAGTACGAAAGAAGTTAGGCCAATATTCAGTGTTACAGAAGTGAGTACTACGAATTAGTTACAATTTATTAGATACTGTTTATGATCCATTTATATAATGCTGTAATAACATGTAGTATTCGAATAACATTTCTTAAGCGTGGTTGTGTTTTTAAATACGTAGAACTTTTGGTATTGTTCGTCATGTGGCACTGAGCATATTGTTGATGTGGTAGTAAATTCGCCTGAAATAAAAAAAGAAAGAACAACAATGAACCAGGAGGGATGTTGATCCTGCGTATAATCATTAAAAATGCATAACGCTGAAACGAGATGGAAACTAGAGTGGAACGAATATTGTAGCGCATCACGTTTAGTTGAGGAAATTTGTATTCTCGTTCAAGAGGTCTACATTAATTTTCTTTTATATCTACAAATGGAATATTTTCACAAAAAATTGAAAAATCTGCGTTATTTGCAAAAGAAACGTTTGGTACCTTCGCACAACTAAACATCATTGTTTCTATGCGTTTTTAAAAATGAATTTTTTTAACTTTAAACACAAGTGTTTAATAATTGAATACAAATTGTTTGTCTTCTCTACCTTTTTAAAAAGAAAACTGTTCAACATCAATTATTGAAGGCCAAAAACTGATGAAATCATTGAAAGTTCATTGGTTAAAACAACACCTTAATTGTAACTATCACATAAAAAGCTACTAAACAAAGTCGTAAACCATTCAACTCAGAGTAAAAGTTCAATACAACTTTGAAGAACGGATAAGATTTCACAATGTTTAATGTTGTGTTCGTCTGCATCGTATTCCTTCCGTCTGCTCTTATTTCAAACACATTATTTTCTCAAGGTTAGTGAATTTCTGTCTCACGGGTATTTTTAAAATTCCTTGCGAACGTTTGTCTTCTTCTTAACTATCGTGTCGCATTCACGGTTTTGGTGCACAAAAGGCAATATCTTTTTTAAAGCTGGCACCACTTTGATAGCCCTATAACGGCATTTCTCATTTACTTCGTCTCTGAGGAGATAAACAGCAAAAGTGGATTCATAATTCAAATCAGAGCAGAGACTATGACACAGCAAATACGGAGACAAAGCTACAATTTCATTTCCAAATAACAAGATACACAATGGAATTCCCTTTCATCAAACTACCAACTTTTCTGTAGGCATCACTTTTATTCAGAAAAGGCTTTAGATGACTTCGAGAAAAGGAAAAAATTAAAAAACTGAACGTTACATGACTAACACTTTCAGAAAATACTGATCCTTAATGAATAATTCGTTATCTGTTAATTATTTATCTCGACATTCCTCACAAAAGAAGAAAAGCGAACATACTGCCGTTACAAAAGAAGGGAGCATTGTTAGAAAAGTAGAAGTTGTCGGGGGGGGGTGACGAAAGAAATGCGTTTTACAGCTCATGAAAAGTAACCAATCACAGTCGCGTGTGATGCCTTACAACTTGATGTGTATCCAGTTGACCTTATTGCCTGAGGAAGACCAGTGTTAACGTTGCAATTAATACAATAAATGTTTACAACATGGAACAAACAATCCTAAACATCACTCGGTTTTTTTATGAACTCGGTTTTTTATGATTTTGTGACTATGATTTATGACAGCATATTGTTTCATAGACTGCTATCGTCTCTTTCAGTCAATTTGCCATGCTTATGATATTATCTGGTATTACTGATTCTTTATACATGTTATCCGTAACTTGGTTGTTTGTTTTTTTCTTTAACATCAGTGAGTTCTTTGAGAGAAGCCACAATGCACAAAATCGCACATCATCTGTTACATTACAACCGTTGTAACATCAATTCTAGATAAATCGTTTTCCTAAGACAAATCATTCTCTAATTGACTGAGTGCGCGCAGTAACGATGCTATCTCGTGAACCATTCATGATTTGTATTCGGCTTGCAGCTTCAAATTTCGTACACGTTTCATTTCGATTTTGTTTTGGATTGTGGCTCGCATTTCATCTGGTCCCTCTTGTATGTTAAAATGGCGGCCTTTAAAATGGTGTCTACTTGGATATCTATTCATTGAGCAGCTCAGTGCAAACCATTGTGTATCTTAAAATCGTGATATAAAATGTGTCTAAGGAACCACTATTGATATTTTTGGTCACATATGATTGATACCGATGTGTTACTTTCAACATAGGTTCGAATATTTTGTATCGAGAGGGTTCATCGTCAACCGTTCGACAGCGCTTCTTTGTAAAAGAGGAATTTCATTATCTGAATGTCTCTGTCGTGGGGACATCCAGTGTATATGACGTCTTGGACTGCACCTTCAAATGCATCTGCAACCCGTTGTGCTTTTCTGTAAACTTGGCTGCCTCCACAGAAGCTGATGGAGAAGCCTGGTGCGAGTTACTGTCTTCTGATAAATACAGGAACAGCACAGAATACACAGACAGTAGAAATGCCCACCACTTATACCTGAAGGTAAAGGATTTGTCATTTCACGAAACATGTTTCGATTTCTTTTAATGTTTCTTTATCAGTGTATTTTGCTTGACCTTTTAAGAGTGTATTACACATTTCCTCTCTCCAGTCCCCTTGCTCTTCCTCGCCATGTCAAAACAAAGCCACCTGTGTGACGAATTACAAATATGGCTCCTTTGAGTGTCTCTGTAAAGAAGGCTATGTCGGAAAATATTGCGAAAGAGGTGAGGGAAATCTTTAATATTTCCATCTTAAGATAAAGTGCAACATGCCACGTTCAGATAACACAAATAGCGGACTTAAACTGATGTTTCATGTCACATTCCAATTTTTTTCCTTTTCTTCCCAGTTGACGAGCGAGCCAATAGTTTTTTTTATGTTCTCCTAATTTCTATAATCATAATGTATCAAGATAGAATCAGCCGACGAGCCACAAGGTTAATCCTAGCAGAGCTTGTCCCAGTTTCAGTGACATGAAGTGACAACTATTGTCAGGGTGCAAATACATCGTAGGATACCACCCTCGCCTTTAAACCTTTTTTTTTTTCCGTGTTTTCTTCATCGTTTGCTGTTACCTTTTTAACACTCCTGAAACAGCAGCTGTATTTCTCGCAATCATATGATAAACATCTTCTTTGTTCTTTCTTCCAGCCATCAAGTCATGCAAAGAGATGTTTGACCTGAACGAGTGAGGGATAAGTAAATTGCTTTGTAACAATGATGTTACCAATGATGATGACAATAATCATGATAATAATAATAAGAAGAGTGTGTTTCTACTGGTACAATATGATAATCTTATCATTCAAGAATATTGCATAGTTAGGCCGCAGTAGCTCTCCTAAAAGGGAAAAGGCCACGCCCATAAACCTATTAGGAAAGTGCATGAACCCATATAAACTGTAAGATGAACCTCTCCCAAGTGTTCATCAGCCAAACCCAGCTCAAGTCCAAAGGGACCTTCTCGTTGATCTTTGATTCCAGGAAATAAATTCTCCCAATTCCAGGAAATAAATTCATTTGGCAAGCAATTCTTGATTATTGGCCTTGGCACTGTAATTGAGCAGATACTTTAAGGATCTTGGTCGATCTTAAGGTCAAAGTTCAGGTTCTTGATTGTCCGTAATGAAAACTGCAAAGAAAAAAATTGAGATAATCCTAATACTTTCCAATACAAAAGAGGGTCGTTGACAAATGTGAGAGTAGATGCAAGCTTCTTCTCACAGAACAATAAAAAATGTCTCGATCACATTTCAAAGGTTAAATGCAAATCAGCTGGTCACCCTTATCGTTGACTCAAAACCATTGTCCGTCTTCTGCCACGTGGAAATTTTTGGCTGTGGAAGAGGAGGTTGGACACCAGTAATGAAGATTGATGGAAACAAGGTATTTGGGGCGCGATTCTCATTGGATATTTGGATTTCGTCTTGCTGGCACTGGCAGTGTTCGCCATTGTAGAGAAAATGAGAATATCATCCAACCTATGAATGAAAGGACCCTTGAAAATAGTTATTCTTCTTCCACTGAAAACGCTTTATCATTAATTAAAGTTATTAGTGTAAAAAAAACATAACTTCCCATAACTTGGGAAAGAGGCGAATTAAGTTATTTGTTTTTCGGGATTCCGTCAAATTGGATATTTTTCATCACTTGGGAATAAAAAGGTATGTTTCCTGGATAAAAAATAAATGCCTATAGATTGATTTATTTCGTGTTCTTCGGCAGGTAACTTTTCATTATGACTCAGAGTATTGGATCGATAAGATCACCTTCAAACTTGGTGGAGGAAAGACTGGGTTTGATTCACAGGAAACTAAATTACCGACGTACTGGAACACATCTTTCTCTAAAATCTGCCTCGGTATGAAGAACGGCCAGAACAAAGCATTTATTGGGATGAACAAACAGGCCGAGTCTCTGTACTCACTGATAGCTGATGGGAATTACCGCAATACGTCACTGGGACGTACCTCGTGGAAGAACCTGATTGGTTCAGATGCATCTTTGCAACGGAATTGTAACATGGAAGGATTTAATGCAGTGAGTAAAGATAGAAATTATGCGAAGGCCAGAATCGGTATCATTGGCAACAACGAAGAGAATTGCGATTCTAGTGACTCCTGGATTGGGTTTGGTACAGGAGTGGTTCATAATGAAAATTTAACTTGTGGTAACTATGCACTAGCCGACCCAGATAATGGTGACAAAACCATAGGCACCATGGGATACATCCTCGTGCAGTGACCCTGGGTTAGTAATGTTAAGGAGAATCCAACGGATGTGGAACTTCGACTTTGATTCACCATTCTTACAAATTGTTCTAAATGATGTCCCTATAGCCATTTGCACAAATTACGCCATACTCAAACTGAAAACAGCTTTCTGAAGAGAAGTGCGAAATTTAGCAGTTTAAGGATCTGTTTCTCCACTCAGGATCATAGCAAAGATCGAAGAAGTTGCATTATCAGAGATTTTTTGAAGACGTTTTTTTATGTCAAATGCAATAACGTTTGGTGGTTCGAAATTGTTAGAACATCTATGGTTACGACAAGCTGCGTAAAAACTGAAAGCTTATGTATTCTTTAAATTGTGTAAAATTTGATGCTTTTCATTAAGACAATCAATCAAATGCGACTGTAATTAAAATCATTCGATACAGTTTAAAGAAGTGATAAATTTGCGATATTTGAAAATAACTCACCTATAACCTAATAGAAAGTGCACGAAAATTATATCGTTATAACAGTGCAGTCGACATTTCTGTTTCGTTTACTAGAAACGAAACGAGTTTATTTTGGCTGCAAGGTGAACTGTTCACTTAGTGGGGTAGAGTAGCTAATCGAAATGAAGTTTTTAATTAATAATGTAAACAACTTCAAGCTGGAACGAAGCTCTGAAATCTCTGTCGAAGGGCTGACGCTCCAAACGTCAGCTTCAGAAACTCTTTACGGTGGCTAGTTTCTATCATCAACTCAGTTGATAAAGCCAAATTAACCTTAAAAACCAAACTTGTGAACACACGATCTTAAGAGATCGCAAAAAATACATGAAATGAAAACAGAAGGAAAGCCAATTTATCACAAAAAAAAAACTTTTGACGATTTGGTAACGACTTGACATCGAACCAAGCAATAAACCATTGCAACTGAACCTTCACTTCAGTGACTTTTACTTGCATACTAATACTACATGAAAGCGTGTTTACGACAAAAAGCGATTTTCTAAACATCCTCCATAACTCGTACACTGCGTAACAGAATGAGTATTATGGGAGGCCTTTGGTCAAGAAGCGATGTAACATGTAAATTTTTAGAAATCAAGAGATCAAGAGCTGGTCAATTTCTCCTAGATAAATCTTCTAGCCTAGGAAATATGCTGCTCTTTTTCCTAACATGTAGATGGGAACACCACGACATAAATATATTCAAGAATATCTCTCTGTTTATTAAAGACTGTTTCTTCATTCAGATCATTATTGAGCTCATCTTCGTTTCCATAGTAATCAAATCCACAGTTTACATTTCATTTGATTACTCGTGACCTTGATTCAGTTCACCCTGGATGTCGCCAGCTTGAAATAGTTGGTGATTTGTCAGAGCTTCAGGCTACAGAGAGCTCGTACGACATGCACGGAACCACATCTCCTTCGCAGTCATTCCTCGGGTTGTAACGCAATGGAAGCATTGCCTAACATCTTAAGAACGACGGAAGCACAAAGGAGATGGTTTTGTTTGTAAATACGGACACTATCTATGGGGTAGTCGGTAAACTGTTCCCTCGACTAACAGGGGATGTTGCTGTCCTTTATGCAGGCGAGAGAGCCGAACCTACAAGACCGTGAAAGAAATCGTTCAGAAATTTATTTGGTCTTAATACAAAAAAGGAATTATAAATCGTCAGAGCGCTGCTTCTGCTAGATGCTTTACATGAGACGCATCTTCCATCGAGCTATTATAGAAATAATTTTTAGAATTTTTGCACCTCCTCTTCTCATACTAAGCGCACACAAGCAGTAATTATGAGTCAAATAAATGATGGTCACTAGATCAAATATGAATGTTAATACCTGTGGTCTTTTATCTTGTTCCGTCATGTAACCAATACACATACTCTCTGTAGTATGACCCCAGACAAGATCAACCGTACAATCTTAGGCAAAACAAAACAGGGAGAACATCAATAGAGAGGCATGTCTGCTTCATTTAATGAGAATACAATAATGTGTGCGACTGTCAAATTACCTCATCAACATTGGATTTACCTGGGTTTCACATGTAAATGATGTTCAATTGGTTGAATTAAAACAAAAATACAACTACTTAAAAAATGTTAAGAGTGAAGAACACTCTGTGACGGAAATCAGAAGATTTTGTAACTTCACGTACTCTTACTTTCAAAATAACGCGTCTTCATTTAGTTGAGAAAAGAAATTACTAACGATAAGCGGTGATAACGAAAATTCGAAATCCTTTTCATCAAGGTAGGCTTACCATCGGCGGTCTCCTCTTCCTCCACTCGCAGAAGCAGCACCCCTCCTAACTTCTGCTCCACTGTTGAAAGGAAAGGTGACCCTAAAGAGATGTATACATGTAATATCAGAAAGTTTGAAAGTCTGTATATAATCACCTCGTAAAACAGGGCAATTCTTTTTCTTTTTTGTTTGATTTATTCTTAAGATGATTGGAAGGAAGAACAAGTCGCGCACACGACTTGTACTTTGTGTTCTCTTTGCACTCGCCTCGTACTTGACTATTCTCGCCTGAAAAACGCGAAAAAAAAGAATGAAACCTGCAAAAAATAACTAGCCGTAGAGAATATCCTAAGGGCAGACTTTCCCACGAAACGAAAATGGAAAATACTTCGAAGAATTCCAATTTCAAACATCTCCTATTCCATCCGGAAGTGATTGCCTAGCAGAAGTAGATGGAAAAATGTTAAATTACAAAATTAAAGTAGCACCTAAAAACACGTCCTCAAGTCCCTCCTGAACCGCACTGACTGCGTCCCTAAAACAAGAAACACAATTTTAAAAACATAGGAAAGACATAGAATAGCTTTACAGAGAAGAAACCGAAGACTAAACCTCTGGGGTTCATTGCCCTGGTTTACATCAAGTGAGCGAAAAAATATATTATGTTTAAGGTTTTCGAATAAATATGTTTAGTCAAACGTGTTTCTTGATTTTAAGTTCCAAACGTGAATGCACATCAAGCACCAAAACCAAGATGAACTGTTTACACCTCAACATTCGCGTGCATATTCTCCATACTGTTCTCTATATATTTCGTAGGATGCTGACAGGGAGAATTTGTTAACAATCAATAGCTTCTTTAGGTGGTGATCATTTCCTGTATTCTTGTGGCTTCATTGTGTGAATCAGGGGTGATAATGTAAGGAGAAATTAGATGCTAGTCATTCTGAGGAGTTAAAGGGTCCAGAGCTCACCTTCTTGATGCCAACCTGGCACACTCTTTGGCCAAAATGGACTTCATCAAATGTTCTCCACAACCTATATACATTCAAAATTGCTATTACACAATACATCTGTTTAAGACCATCAGTTTAATGATCTGATCATGAATTCTCTCATCTGGCTTCTATAAATTTCCTTGTTAATTAGTTGACAGAACTTGCCAAACTACACATCAAACTACACATCATGACAACTTAATCTGTGTAACTGATGAGTTTGTGTATTTTCATCAACTGTGTCAATAATTTGATTGAATTTCTGTGAAAAAAAGAAAAAGAGCAGAAAAACTGCGGATTCAACAAACTAAATAATTCAAACCTGATGTACAACAGGCCACTCCAACTTTGTTCATTTGACGACTTGTTGCCCAGCAGCCACAGCCATAAACACTTGCCTAATACAAGAACATTTTACAAAAAGGCATACTTTGTTTTTGGTGAGAAAAAAAAGGGAATTCTCTTCAGACATTCCCAGTTGGAAATCAGAGTTCATTTATTCTAACCTCCCGTATATTCTCTGAAAAAAAAAAAAATCCTAACTTTGTATGGAGCAAGCTTTTTATTCACCTGACCAATACGACCTGGTGTTTTATAAATAACACCACCACTGGAAACACCAGCACAGAGGTGTCCATGCCTGTCCATACAAACTGCACCAACAGTGTCCATGTGGTTACCCTCCTACAAGGAAATGGATTAGTATTAAAAAAATAAGTTTCCAAAATCTCAAGGTTGCAGTTGTCCTTAGGAAACATACTACTTCTTGCTGCCTCTCTTGAACTGAAGGGTTGAAGAAGCTTGTTGAAAAGCTTACTGTTATCTACAATGAACTAGGATCCTGTCCAGCAGGACTGCCAGTATGCACTGTGAAATTTATGTAAGTATGTGACTAGATGCTTAAATACACATAGTTATGCTTAATCTAACTAAGTTTGGCCAAAATCACACACTAAGGTCAACATGTAACCTCCTGTTACTTACATTTGATACATTACACAGGTTTTCAAGTGGACATGGCTTGGATTTATAATCTACATCAGATAACTCTAATCTTGACTTGCATCTTTTCCATGTTTGGATGCTTCTGTCTTAAGAAAAAAGAAATAGCAAAACTGCAACAATTTTATAATAGGAATGTCAGAAATTACCAATGACAAGTCTGTCTGCCTGGGCATGTTATATAACCAGTAAAACAATACAGCTGATCAGCCCATTCAGTTATTATACATCTTGTGCAAGAATTGCATATTTTTAAGTGCAAGAGGTGTCTTTTAAGGGTTGCTTAAACAGAAAGAAAATTGCAAAAGAACTAGTTCATCAGCAACAGTTGTTCCTTAAAAATGATACAAATATCAGAAAAGAGGATCTTTACAACAACAACAACAACAACAAAAACTCAGAACCACAGACTTCCTTCAATTTTATACAAGATTTCCTATTTAATTGAGTTGAAAATGGATAAATACATTTTCCACAATATTTTGAAAAAGCAAACTCTAAAAATTAACACAATTTCTTTAGTGCTATATGAAATTTTTCTCCCAACACTACTAAAAAGATAATAAGGCAGAAATAGGGTCCATAGGATGGTTTTGTCAGATCAAGCACCACCAATCACACTCACCTGTGATCATGTCTTCATCACGACATGCAATGAAACCATGATCCAGTGCCCATAGATAAGCTCCTTCTCCTGCAAGAAAGCTGAAAAAAAAAAGATATTGATTGAATGATTTCAAACTGTTTTAAAGTAACAATGTCAATAAGTGCAGCTGCACAGTTAACATACTGATCATTAAACAAACAAAATGTTATAATTTTTAGAGCAACATTAAAAGAACAAATTCTTGAATCATATTGCCAGTCTTCAATGGCATGGAAGACAACAGTAAAGCATCCTTCATTAAAATTTTATTTTAAAGCCATCTCCTTGAGGGGTAGTGTCAATCACTTATAATCTCTCAAAATTGTTATCTGAACAAGTATACCAGTATTTATCATGTCTGAAATTCCCATAAAAAGTACAAAAACATATCAACAAGAATTCTACTTTGATTTGTCTTGAATATTTTTGTTTTTAGGGAGAACAAGGGAGAGCAATTCCTTTGTTTGGAGGGAAAGCTGATGAGATGGTCTGCAAATCAGCTTCAAACACAAGAATATGTTGCAATGTTAACATACTCATGATAACAATAACAACATACATTGGAGAAATAAGACCCAAAACTGATGGTCCTGACATGTCCCCCTCCAACAGTTTACCAGCTACCTGAATAGGATTCCTTATTCCTGGAAAGCAAGATAACAAATCAGTTTTTCATTAAAAAGTTAATGGAATTACTCATGTGTATGGGATCCTTTCTATCACAAAGAGGCGAGCACAGAGTAGCAAATCAATTTTCTTTATTAAAAAGGTAAAATGTACAACCAAGTTCTCTTTTTTTGTAAGAATAAAAAAGCAGCACAGTTGAATATATTATCATGATTATTATTATGATTATCATCATCATTATTCTATAAAATTCACAGCCTAACATTGTAAAGTGGTTGGTCTGTTTGTATTGTTGCTACTTCATAACATCTCCAATTGGTAACAACAGTAACCTGTAAGAGATTTTTGCTGTAAACACATGACAGTTATCTCAAAGGCCCCAACATTGCACTTGATCTTCAACTGGTCCCAGAATTACACTGTATGGGAGCTTGCTCTCAATTTGATACTCAATCCTTCAGTCAGTTTTACAGTCAGCCTATCAATCTGAACTTTCCTTGTCAATTCTTCTACCAGTAGTTTCAGGCCTTACTCAAACCCAGATTACACAAGTGAACACATCAGATCATCAGTACTTTAACGATAAAAAAAATTTCCTCCCCTCACTGACCCTTAAGAGCACCAACAGCTCCAAATGCTGAGGAATTCCCATCCATTATACTTGCATCACACTCTACTGTTCCTGATTTGGTTAAGTTAGAACCAATCCCTGCATTAGTGCAAGGAAAATCCTGAACAAAGATAATAAATTGCTGACAAAGTTGACCAACAAAATAATGGCAGACATTGTTTCCCTTGAGGGTACATTTCTAAAAGTATTTGTGGTGCTAAGTCAGTAATGGGTATTAAAAGCTAATTTGATTAATTTAAGGTAACTGTAAGATAAATTGATCACTGTTAAGAGATTCTAAAGCTGACATATCAAGTGTTAAGCCTCAGTTGGAGCAAATCCTCTGGTATGTCACACAGAGTCAAGTCAAGTGCTTGGTAATATCCTTCCCCTCTTACAAAGACACACAAGGTATTATCAAGAGAAGAAAAACTGTTCTAAAAGTAGCCAATTGATGCCATGTATCTTCTAACTTGTATCATGCTGATAGTTATTTCATCAATATCTGGATTTAAATGTGCAGTAACTTCTACCTCTAAAGCTGTTATTGCAGTGATTACAACATCTTTGGCTGAGGATCCCTGTTTGATAGCTTTCATGGCCTGGAAAGATAATGATCTGCTGAATAAACTATATAATTATCCTTAACTTTTCAGTCCCTATCAAACAAACAGCAAATGAGAAATACATAGATTGTCAAGTAGGAGTTACTGTGTACCTGAGTTACAACAGCAAATGCTCAGTTCTTGCAAAAAATGAAATACCATGTAGGAGGATCTACTTCAGAAGTATACAAGTTAAAGATTTGATTATAATTTATACCTCAGCACATGCAGCTCTGCAGGCCTGTTTGTACTCATTTTCGTGTGAAACAGAATGATACCCAGCACCTGAAATAATAAATTTGTTATTGTCACTTACCAATAACACAACATGTGTCAGAGATGAAAGCATTCTTGACAAAATATTTCTTCTGTCAAAGAGGGACAAATGTTCCCGCTATTTTAGTACCAGAAGATTGGGGAAAAAACTTTTCAAGGTATTTCACTACTTTTTGTTTTAGTAATTCTGAGTACTTGTAACAATTTTCCTAACATGTTCAGTTTTCTTTCAATAAACTGTAAACAAGTTTACCAATTGTGTTTGTTAGATTACTGATAGCTGTAAAAATTCCTTTAACACATGTCAATAAATGAACATGCAGTATGATAATTCACTAAAAAAATTTCCCTTACTTATTTGTTGCTAAGTGACAATACCAAGTATGCCAACTTGTGATAATATAAAGCCTGAAGATGTTCATGAAGTATATTCAAAAAATGAAATAAAAAGAAGATATTAAACCTTCCATGGACACAATTTTCTCAATCGGTTGGCACTAGAGATAGAGTTAACTTGATTTTATATCTCTTGTTAAGGAAAATTAGCAAATATACTTACATCCAAGAGATCTGAACATAATAATAATAGTAATGCTTTTTCAACCAGAGAAATTCGTAAATGATTCATCACAGTCTGGTGACAGTTTGTAATAATAACAATCAGTCACATTATGGCTTTCAGTGCTATTAAATAAGCCTCTCATGCGGAAGCACTGTGACTGAGCAAGCCACCACTCCCAACACACATATACTGGCTAGTGTTTCCGACAGTCAATCATGAGGCTATCAATGATTGTCTTGTTCGAAGAAACCCAACTGCTTTTTCAAGAAGTGTGTTCTTCAAGACTAAACAAACTTGAAAAAGAATGCCTTGTGAGAAAAGTTTAGAATATTACTATCGCTAAACATTTAGTAGACATACATTACCAACATGAACTGCTATAAATCCACGACCAAAAAGGCTGAATTTATCTTGCATGTTGCTACACATTTTTTCTTGCTCTAACAGAACTCTAATAAGGTTTAACCTGCATAGTAGGCTATCTTTTGGCGGGCGAGCGCTAAATATTGCGCTCGCATAATGAGGCCGCCATATTGGATTGGTGTCATCAGAGGGAAGCCTGGAGAATGGAGCAAACAACCATTGAGGGAGGAGTGGGGGGAGAGTTTTAGCTCATACCTGACATGGGCGCGGGAAAAAGCAACGAGGACTTTTAGGTGGCCCGAAAGGACTAACTGCAGCCGGCGGTGCTAGATCGTGCACGCACGGGTTTTTTATGCGGCTTCTGCTTTCCTTTTCGCAAGGCACCGGGTTTATGTTATGATGCAGTGTAAGTCCGTAAACTTCCATCTAAGGACATCCAAAGCCCCCACGGTTTTCAAAATCGCAGACTATCGTGGGGCAAAGTACTTGTAACGCGGGAGAAAGTTTACGCGCGCAAAAGAATTGAAACGACAATATTTCTATGATAACAATATTTCAGCAAAATGGCGGCATATTGAAATTCCCACTGTTTGTTTTCCTTTTGTAGTGGAAAAGCTTAACTAAATTTGATTGGGTTGCTGTAAACAGGAGGGTTTCTATCGAACATTTTCCGTCACATATCTCAGTCAATAAAAAACGAAAAACGTTGCAGTAACAGGCATGAGTTCAGGGACTGAAGACAAGCATTCGCAACATAGCTACAAAGTTCGTAGCGACTAGTATCGCTTCAGTTGTCTAGACAAATTTAAAACAGCGTATTTGGAACTATAATAAAGAGAATGCTAGGTACCGTTTGGATCTATCCATAAGAACAAACTGTATTAAATCATCCACCTCGCTCATTTCAATAACAATCCAAAAAGAGTAAAACGATGTTTTGTTAGTTCCTGGACGAAATTCATTCACGCAGGAACGGGCCAAAGCCGCCGAGCATGCGCACTCGTTTTACCGCTTTATCTCGAGAAGAGTATTACATGCATGTGGAAGAATGTTACCTATCGTCATTTCTATTCTCGCTGTATACAGAAACTCTGTCACCATGGAAACGGCCTCGCTTGTAACGAGTCTTCCAAAGGTTATGCATGCCCATGAGTATTACAAATGAATAAAATGGTAAGTTTCTAAAGAAACTGTGGTGCTGCGTCGGTGGGAGAGTATAGCAGGTAATTTAGTGTTAACAACTGAGTTGAAAACGTAAATTAGCCACCGTAAAGGGTAAAAAAGCTGACGTCGGCTTTTTTACCCTTTACGGTGGCTAATTTACGTTTTTAACTTAGTTTTTTTACCCTAAATTACCATGAGTAATACATAGCGACATTCCTACCCTCCCAGTATGTAGGAAGTTTGTCTCCATGGAAACGACCCGGCTTGCGTCGAGTTTCCCAAAGCTCAGTGTTGGAGCATTCGAAGCACTAATTAATTTCCGACACTTATTTGGCTTTTCGATAAAATTTCCGCACAGCCCCATACTACTGTAAACAAATCTGTTTTTCCAACGGCGATGTACTGTTTTGTCATTGTTTTCTCTCTCCAAGAACTGAATGCTTAATGTAGTATGGGACTGTGCGGAAATTTTACCGGCTTTTCTGGACATCAAAATTTCAATTGCACTCTGCACTAGCGTTTGCCTCAAACCTAGAGATTCACATAGTTACTTGTGGTATTCATCTTCGCATCCATTACACGTCATGAATTCCATACCTTTTTCACAGTTTCCCAGACTTCGTTGTTCATGAAGTGACGACTCTGATTTTTCCGATAAATCAGAGGTAGTGCTCTAGTTTTTCGACAAACGGGGTTATCCCGTTTCTGTTGTTCAAGCGGGCTGCCACCGCGCCAAACAAATTGATTGACAGTCAGCGCTACAAACGGCTGAGAAGGAAAATACTGATCACATTTCATTCACTCTCAAATTTCACCTTCACAACCACGCAATTCAATCTATCGTTCTTAAAAAATTGAAAGTATTTCAAAACGATTCAGAGACTGGCACTATCTTTTCACAACCTCCACTTTTTGGTTAGAAGTTCATTCAAACCAGTGACCAACCTGGAACTTTCAAATTCGCTCGCTCACGTTGCAAAAATTATCCTTTTATTCATGACGAAGAGAAAATGTCGGGACCCGAGAGATCCACTGGACACTTTAATCTACCGAATCATTCTAAGCATATATCCTTACCTTCTTTATTAATTTGACCTAGTTTAATGGCCAAGCTTCTAACGAGTAGTCTATAGCTCAGAGTTCAAATTACTTATCAGAAGTTCATAGGTTCGAATCCTTTTGAGAGCAATCGGAATTTCTTTTTTCGCCGAACGTGCCAGTGTCATTTACTAAATAACATAAAGCGTTTATCAGCGAAACCAAGATTGATTGATTCCTGGCTATGTAATAGAGAAAAAAAGGGGGAAGCAGAGGTATTCTAGCACTGGTATCATCTTCTCTGACCAAGGAAAAGCTTAAACCTCGGAAGCATTTCAAAACATTCGAACTTATTGCATTCGAAGTCAGAACGGGTGCAAACAATATGGTTATTCTACAGTGTGAAAATTGGAAGTCATGTAAGTTCCTGTGGGACGGTCAGCCGAGGTTGTGGCTTCCCACCACACACGACAAACAGAAATAGTTTTACACATATGACCCACACAAAAAATTGCACTTAAGTTCGTTTGATTAAACGAGTCTTTAAACTCCTGTTTCGGGAGCATTATCGTTCTTTAACCTCGATCCTGACCTTAGCGCATTTGCTGTAAACGCAAAGCAAACGAGGAAATTAGAGGTTGAGCCGAATTAAACTACATGATATGGCGTAAAGTAGAAATAGTTTTATAGATACAAAAACGATGCACGATTGAAAAGAAAATTCACACAGTTTCATTTGATTTAATTAGTATCTGCACTTCTGTTTCGGGGTATTTCATTACAAGGGTTTCGAGACAAGGGTTGACTTTGTACCCACAATCACAGCTCAATGTCAACCCTTACCTCGGGACCTACAAACTTGATTACAGTACTTTTACATCATTCAGTGGCCCCTCAGTATTATCTCGAATCCTTCTCAACAGCACGTGACGCAAAGACCTTGTGATTGTCGGATTGATTACTCAGGGGAACACTAGTAATTTGCCCGCGAGAGCTGTGAGAAACTCAGTACGCATGCTCAAAGCAACATTTGGCCCTTGCCGTAATCGAAGGTGGCGGAATGTCAATGTCAACTAGGAAGGTGAGTTTTGTACGGCATTCAGTGACCCTTTTGCTATCTTCCAACGTTGAATATGTTTGAAAATCAACACCATAATTTTCTTTAGTTAAGGATAAGGTCATTGAATCTTTTTAAGGTGGGTTGCCAAATAATTCAACGATCGAACGAAGCAGTTGTTCAACTGATCATGACACACTTTGCAGACTGCTGGTGTGACAAGAAAGACAGAGTTAAATGAAACCGAGCCCAGGGTTGTAACCGAGCCACCTGAATGACATGGAGGTAGTATGCATTTACGTTTTGGGTCCTTTGGTATCATAGTGTTGGACTATTTGTCGGTGAACGTTTGAAGCTCCTCATCCACGTGCGCTGCGATTTACGTGATACGTGATACTACAACAGCAAGAATTCAAATAAAGCCATTCCGAACTTGTTCAGGTTTGAATGATATTCTTTGAGAAATTTATTGTAGATCTCAATTAATTTTCCGAGATAACTAAAGAAAGATATAGTTCTGTGACAATGTTTGCGTTGCAACACATCTCGGCAGTCTTTGTTGCTGACCAGTTCTGCCCTCTGATGGTAATACTGCTGAATTATCAAGTGTTATGGCAGATGTGGCAAGGAAGCAGGGTTCAGCCGATTTGGGATTATGACACATGACTCACATGATATGATTGTAGAGGTTGGACTGGTGACTCAGGTGTCTTTCCGATCTTGCTTGTTTCTTCAGCATACTGTTCTATTCCCAGTGTTACCTGTATTTTACTGCTCATTTAATCTTGCTGTTACTTGGGCTTCAGCTTTGATTTGTCTCCTGGTTTGAAGGGTTTCATTCTCCTCTTGATTTCTCGAGTCAAACTGGGGTCTCTCAAAGGTCTCAATTAGTTCATGTATGGTGTATTGGTCAAACTTCTCAATAATCTTTCTCACGTTATCTCTTCTGGATTGTCAAATTGAAATCCATTGAAAATTTTTGATGCCTCTACGCTTATACAATGTGGAAAGGATGCTACCTTGTATTGAGGTGGTTGTGTGCTAAGGTTGGGAATGGTCACATAGTTTTTCCAAATTTGTTTCCAAACTTTCCAGTTTTAGTAAGTCTATATTGAGGTAACCCACTTCACTACAAAATTGCTTTACAAAAGGGTCCTCCCAACAAGTAAAGAAAGTTTACAAGACTTGAAAAAGTACAGATTAAGAGGATAAGTTGTTGATATAATGATATAGCTAATCAATACTTTAACTGAAGAAATTAAATAATTTATGCTAAAAAAACTTAAGTGTATTCTTAGTAAGGTGCTTTTAAATTTGTCAATATTCTGGAGCCTTCTGACTGATGTGTCTTTGTTGTTACAATGGTTGGCTACAAAGGTTAAGGACTTTGGAAGACATCAGTTGCTGTTGGGTGCGGTCTTGCCTACATTGTCCTAAAATCATTGTGTTGTAATTATGATAATCACTATCAAAACCACTATGGAAAGTATGTGCAAAGTAATTGTTGAAGCACTCATATATGTCAAAGTGTGTACAATGTACAATGTCTGGCACACTCCCATCCCAGTTTATTCTGAGGCCTAAGTAGCCAATGTCTGAGGTGTTAAGTTTTAATGTGAGCTGCTTGATCATGCAGAACTTGGAATTGAACTATGGGAGCTGCATTACCCCTTTCTTCCTAAGCTGTATTTGTGTAGTCAATGGTAGTGGGTAAAAAGTGTTCACTTGGATAATAAACAGTTACTTTATTCTAAAACATCGCAGCAGCAAGCTGAATTATGTTGTGCTTTATAATTCACAAGAAACAAAAAGGTCAATATAAGAGTATAAGTAGTAGTACCTGTATGAAGGTATAATTAATTACAATTACAGTTAGATAGTTAAATAGAAATATTAATGTGAAATTTAAAAAAAATTCTAGAGTTA